TCGATAGATTTAGAAACGATTGTCAGTCTCTGAAGAACGACGAAAACGTCGGGAGAAGGGAGAGAACGCTCCTCAGGGAGCAGTTGGACAAAGCGAAGAACGATTACCAAGTTCTGAAGAACATGCTTCCGGACACCGTGAGGTTGTGCAAGCAGTACAAGAGCCTCTCGGATATGAACTCCCTGCTGAAGGCTCAGTGCGAATCGTACAAGGAGGACTTCATGCACGAGCGCCGCGATCGAGAGCTTATGGCATCCCGAAGCAAGGCGTCCAACGAACCGAAGATCAGGTCCATCATCAGGCAGCTCCAGCAGCTGCTGCGGAGAGGACACGACGACGTGGAGATGGACGGTGCCGGGGGAGGCAACGACGAAGAAAGCTGCAGCGACGAAGAAGATCGCGGTGTGTGTGCTGCTCGTCCGACGAACTGCATTTTCGATCGGTCGATCCCTCCTCACTCGGTCGACGTCGAACTGCTCGCCGCGTGCGACAAGCTGCTGGCGCAGCACGGAGAGAATGTGTTTTGGAAAACCAATAAAAGAGGAAAGAAAAAGAAAATTGTTATTAGTTTCGCATTTTTTTTCTTTTCTACCTAACATCTATCGGTGGAAAACGAATAAGAAAACAACTATGGACCTGTACGACTTCTCGGGCCACTTAATGGACGGTGCTTTCGGAAGCGTTTACTCGGCGATCAGAAGAGCCGACGGACTGTAGTGAGAAACTCCTCGGCGTCCTACCTGACGAACGAATCGGGCGAAACGATATTGGCGGAGGCGCACATCCTACGTGTGGTCTCAGGGATCGAGGGTTGCATCGGATTTGTGGACGTTCACCAGGTCAAAGATTGTCATTTACTCGTGATGGAACGGCCGCTTCGGAGCTCCGACCTATTTCAAGTTCTGGAGAAAGTCGGCAGTATCCCGAAGGAGAGATGCAGATGCTTCTTTCGGCAAATCGTGGACGCCTGCGTCGGTTGCTTCAAACGAAACGTAGTTCACGGAGACCTGAAGATGGAGAACGTGATCGTCGATCTGGACACGGACAGGATCAAGCTGGTGGACTTCGGTTTCGCCAAATTCGTCGACGACCAACCGATCGCCAGCGCTTTCGGAACCACCTATCATTACCTTCCTCCGGAGATGCTGAAACATCGATTCATGTATGCCGTTCCGGCGTTGATCTGGTCGCTCGGAATCATGCTGTTCGAAATGATCACCGGAGAAGAAGTAGAACGCGGTCGTCGACCGTACTTGCAGTTAATCGACGACGAGGAGCTACTTTCGCTCCTCGATCGAATGCTAGCGGTCGACTGGAGAAAGAGACCGTCGCTGAAACAAGTGTCGGATCATCCTTGGACGAATAAACTGACCGCGAATGGGGAATATGTTCAATAGAAGACGAGATGTACAGACGGATGCACAACAACGAATTTCGTTTGCTATTTCACGTCCCCGAGTCGGAGAGAGACGGCTTCGTTCGACCGACGTGGCGCAGAGATCGGTCGACGAGAACAACGTGCTCGTCGACTTAATCACGGACGGCGCCGAACTCTTAAATTTCGGGTCGGCCGTGAAAATCGACGAGCGGAACAGATCTGTGTTGGAAAGACGCTGCGTCGACTCGTTGACATCACTGCATCGCCGGATGACAGGAAGAGAATGTTTCGTCGGACAAGAAGCGGTCACTCTCGACGACTTGATGAGATGGGTGGTAGACGACACCAATTCCCGAGAATAATTTTTTTTTTACAAATGTTGTTCTTTCCAACCCCTCAAATTGTTTTGTATATTATGTTAAATGAATATTGAAATAATAAATAAAAGACACACAAAAATCTATATGGTATTACTTTCTTTTTATTTTTTATTTGTTCTACGAAGACTTGTCTTCGGATAACTCTTTAATGAGCTTCTGTATTTCCTGGCACGTAGCCTTGTAAGTTCTGAAGTCTTGCTGGGAGGGAGCCTCGCCGCCGGTCATCTTGGAAGCCATGGATCTTTCGAGGCTCCTGAACACATGCAGCTGCTTTTTGCACACTCGCCGATAACTGGGCATGACGTGACGATCGAAGTGATGCTCCACTTCTTCTGAGGTGACGTCCTCCATCGTCGGTTCCATAGCCGCCAGCGCTTCGCGGATGTTCTCGACGACCCGTGGCCGCTCCCGGACGCCGTAGGTTTCGAAGAGGCGCTCGCCCTTCAGCATCGGATGGTACTCGTCCGAGCGTTCGTCCGAGCTGCAGTACTGTCTCTGTTCCTTGTCCACGTCGAACGCGCACAGTCGGCAACCTTCCATGTTTTCGCTCGGTTCTCTTCGCAACACCCAACACATGTATATATGTGCACGAGGGACGCGACGTACAGCATCAGACCGAGGTCCGACATGGCCGAACCATCGTACGCTGCCTGCAACAGGTGTCAGTGGAACCCGCCCATGCCGAACGGGGAACTATGTTCCATGTGCGCCAGCCCTTCTCAACTCTGTCCGGAATGCCTCCGGTCTTTGAACGCCTGCGATTGCTTTAAAACCCCGCCCAGTACCGCGTCGTCCGCCGAATCCGCAACGTCTTTCTTGGAAGCAGCCGACGGACGGTCGCTGATCGGAGAGAGAAATTGGGACCGTGAGGAGGAGGAAAAGGAAGAACTGTCCTTCCCGGAATCTTCGTACGAGAGTCTCGACGGCACTTCTCATTCGGAAATTCTGCATCGTATCGACGACGCTCTTTCTCAAACGTCTTTCTTGGAATCGTCGTACGGGAGCGTCGACGCCACTTCGCATTCGGAGATGCTACGTCAGGTCGACGACTTGATCGAAACGATCGACGATTACGCCGAACAGATCGAAGAAGACCCAGAAGAATCTGCGTGGACGCCCGAATGCCGCTCGTTGGCCTTGGAAACCAGAAAACTGGACGTAGAGGAATGGCTCGATTTAGGTAATGAGGAAGAAGAGAAAAGGTCGATGGTCGTCTGCGAATACTGCACCGCCGAATGGGACGAATTCTCCCAGTGCGAATGCAATCTCGGATTTTGAATTTGTCGAAAGAATAAACAAAATAAAACATGAAATCATTTACGTTAACTGGTTATTCTTGCGTGATTTATTTTTGTATCTTTTTTTTGAATATTAATCTCCTACATTCGATAAAGAGATTGGAACGTGCTTCACCCGAAAGAAACGGGGCGATCAAGGCGAAGTCGATGCCGGAAGCATAGCGAGGGCGTACATAGTCGAAGAATCGGAACGAAATCCGTACTGCGTCGCACTCGATCGGTTGGTGGAGAGCATTCTGTTCGGAGTGAGAGCGAAGGACATCGTCCCTCGAAACGCGAGCGATCCTCGAGAGGCGATATCCTCGGTGTTCGAAGAGGGTACCGTGAACTGGGGACGCATCGTCGTCTCCTTAGTGATCGCTCGCGAGTTTTTTCGAGAAGAAGGCAGTTGCACGCACAGTCGGCGTCCTTCTCGACGACAGATGTGGAGATTGGGTCAGACGGGAAGGTGGGTGGAAACGCATGCTGCACTTTCGCGTCGACAGAAGGGTATTAGCGATTTGGTAGTGAAAGTGGGCTCGGAAAAAAGACGTCGATCCATTTCAGAATGTCGTCTCGACGTCGCGGACAATCGTCGGAAGACGAACAGGAAGACGAACGTCGTCTCCCGCCCGTGCCAGTAAAGGTGAAGAAGAAGTCGAATATCGTATGGATAAGTTCCGAAGAAGACGAATCGGACAACCAACCGGGAACGTCGAGGTCGGGAGGCTCTTCCTCGGCAAGAGACTGCAACGGAGCCTCTTCGTCGAGAATGGCCGTTGGCGCCTCCAGCGACGGCGGTAAGTCTTCCGGTTCGAGAAACTTTGCTGCCGAATCTTCGAGAAACTTTGCAGTCAAATCTTCGAGAAACGGTGTCCCACGCAAACCGTTCTCGTCGAAGAAAATCGGCGACTCCAGCAAGAAACCGAAACCGACGGCAACGGTTCGGCCGGTGGGCCACGTCGATTACGCCAGACCA